CAGGCAGAAAGACAGACACACATGAATGCATGCATGGATACACATATCCGTAGATACACATGCATGCATACTCACACATATTCATACAGGCATACATACATACACACATGCATGCATATATGCAAGCATGCGTACACACATGCATATTCATACATGCATACATGCATGCATACATACATATATACATACGCACATTCATACATACATGCTTACATACATACATACGTACAAACATGCATGCGTACATGCATGCAAACATGTATTACACTCAGACATATAATCACGAATACATACACACATATGTGCATACATACATACATGCATGCATGCATGCATACATACACACGCGACCACACACATGCATATATATATATATATACATGTATGAATGAAAATACCTTTGTATATACTTTATGCATGCATATCTGTAGTGTAACACCACAGATCTATTGTACCAAATCCTTTGCACCACCCTCTTTTAGCTGGACCCCCTTAAAGCGGCGCGCGCAAAGGGAAGGGGGAGGGGGGAAGGCTTCTCAGAAGGAGACCGCGTCTTAGAAGGCGCGCACCTTACACCTACAGACACACGTTCGAGGGCGGCCGCGCTGGCCCTGCCCAGCCAAGGCCTGGCCAAGCCCGGGCACCCATGAGGTTCGATGCCGTGAGCTCCTTCCTCTTTCCTCTGCCCTCACCTTCCTCCTCCTCCTCCTCCTCCTCCTCCTACTCCTCCTCCTCCTCCTCCTCCTCCTCCACTGCCCCTGCACTGACTACCCACCAGACCACCCCAAAGGGGGGGGGGTCACGGGCTCCACATGTTTTTGTCGAGGTAACCCGACGCCCCTCTCCCCACTCTCACTGGCGTGCAAGTTGGGGCCTTCCAGTGGGGTCGGGGTGGCTTGGTGGGTAGGGACAAACCTCTGAACCCCTCCCCCTCCTCCGCTCCCTCGACCCCCCAGAGCCTCCTGCTCCTCCACACTTGCCGTCGACCTCATACTCTGTTTCAGGGCGGCAGCCTGCTCCGACCCCAGCAGGGCCCGCCGCAGCCGCCAGCCGCGCGGCCCGCCCGCAGGCACGGCGCTCAGGCAGCCCCGAGCCCGCTCTGGCGCAAACGCGCCGTTTCGGTGCGCGCGGCCACACCTCGAACCGAAAACGGGCGAGGCGCAGCAGACACAAATCGTCCCGGTACGCAGCGCTATCATCGCCGTCGCCGCTGCCCTCCCGCGACAATGATCACGACTGCAGAGCCGCCTGCAAGCTAGAAGAATGCCAGATAGTCCATGCAGGGACTGTGAATTCGGGGTGCCAATGGTGTAAGAGTGCAGACACATCATGAGTCACGCTGCTGGCAGATGCAGGAGAGCCCAAAATCGAATCGACAAGTCGGATCGGCAATCGGAATGAATCGTATCGGCGGAAATCGGCAGCCGAGTCGAAAAAAGTCGAATCGGCGGAAATCAGCAGGCTTGTAGGCCTCCGATGAGAAGTCGGAGCCCACATCGAAATCTGAAGCCGAATCGAATCATAATCGGAAGCCATCGGAATCGAATCGAATCGGAGGAATCGAAACGAGCCCCGCAGATGTCGAGCTGTCCACTGTAGCGTAGTAGCGCCCTGTGCGATGGGCACCACCAGTCGGAAATCGGTAGCGAAGGGCGCGAGGCCCAGTGCCGCGGCCTTGGCGGTGAATCCGCAGGCGGGGGGCAAACAGCAGTGCAACCATCAGGTCGGGCATGTCCTCCTACAGGCGGACTGTGGACGAAGCAACAGAAACTAGTATAAGACATGCTCAACAGTAGTCATAAATGGTCTATGGATCGTCCCCTGACTATTTGCTGCCTATTTTTGGAGACTCCTCCTGTAGAGGGACCCGCTCTCAATGGGCCCTGGAAACGACAAGGCCGTTTTTTTGCCGGTTCCGTTTTGTCGTTTTTTTGCCAGTTCCGACGCCGTTTTTTTACCGGTTCCGTCGCCTTTTTTTTACCGATTCCGGCCCCGATTCCACTCCTGAAGCAGTTTTTTTGCCGTTTCCGGTCGCCTTTTTTTGCCGTTCCCATTTTCAAGGGACACTTGTTCGAAAACGGTGAAAAAACGGCCTGCCGTTTCCGGGGCACACTAAGGACCCGCCCGACTTCATACAGGGAGTGTGGTGCAAGCTCCGTGCCGCGAGCTCCGTGGTGCAGGCCACCTGCGGTGCAGGCTGCGCGGGCGGCGACGAGGCGCCCATTGGCGGAGGAGGAGGAGGAGGAGGAGGAGGAGGAGGGAGGAGGAGAGGAGGAGGAGGAGGAGGAGGAGGAGGAGGAGGAGAAGGAGGAGGAGGAGGGAGAGGAGAGAGGAGGAGGAGGAGGAGGGAGGAGGAGGGAGAGAAGGAGGAGGAGGAGGAGGAGGAGAGGAGGAGGAGGAGGAGAAGGAGGAGAGAAGGAGGAGGAGGAGGAGGAGGAAGAGGAGGAGGGAGAGGAGGAGGAGGAGGAGGAGGAGGAGGAGGAGGAGGGAGACTGGACATGTTTGAGCTTCGCTTCAATGTTCCCGTTCGAAGTGTCGCGTGCGTTATAAACAGAAAGGCGTCCACCAAAGGCAACAAAGCAAAGTCGGCTACACGAGCAAGCTACATCACATTATGTCTGTGTGAGCCATGCCAGATTTGCCAACATAAGGGGACATCAAGTTCCAATGCTACGTGTTCTTGTCGATGCTGAATAACACCAACAAACAATAAAGCTCCCGCGACCATTCGAAGTCACATGGACGTGGGGAACAACATGTGTTCACTTTGATGGCGCTTCACAGTTTGGCAGACAACACCAGAGTAACTGGCGAACACACCGAATGAACAACAGCCCTGCCATCCGCCTGTAAGGATGATAACGACCCGTTCAGGGCGTCAATGTCCCACAGAGGGGCGAGGAAGAGAGGAAGGCCGGAGCAGGGACAAGGGAGCCCGACGACATCTGCTATAGGTTGAGACTGGCGTTGTCTCCATCGTTCGCGCGCGCGTCGCATGGCCCCCCCCGCCAAACACCCATAATAACGTTGCGGCCAGATGATGATGATCATCATCAGCATCAGCATCATCATCATCAACAACATGTTCATCATCATCATCATAATCATCATCATCATCATCATCATCATCATCATCATCATCATCACCATCACCATCACCATCACCATCACCATCACCATCATCATCATCATCATCATCATCATCATCATCATCATCATCATCATCATCATCATCATCATCATCATCATCATCATCTACGAGACACCATTGCAGGTCGGCTAGGGCAACTGTTAACTCATGGTATACACGGGAACCTCCGAGAGCACGCGCAGGATTTCTCTTGGACCCCCGCGCTGCACCTGCGCCCCGGGCGCGCTTTCGGAGCCGGGGCGGCGTCCCCGAGACGCTCCTCGAGGGGGGCCCAGCGCAGATCCCCCCAAAGTCCGCGCGCCGGCCCTCGAAAGGGTACCTGTACGCGAGAGTTGTTCCGGTTCGATTGGTGCTCGGACGACAACAGGGTGCCCATGCCGCTACCCTTCACCCGTTTTCCCCCTGTACGGCCTCCTCGGAGGCCCTCGTTGTCACCGGCGGACTCGCCTCGAGACGGCGGTCAAAGCGCACCTCGGGAGAGGTCTGGGGAGTAGCGGTATCGGTGCATGTCGGCTTCCCCGGGTACTGCCTGGCTGGGCTCGGCAACGAGCTCGAGGCTCAACACCCGACCTCTCACGATCGATCTATCTTCTTCAGGGTCGACCTGTAGGGGGGACTTCGATGAGCCCGGGCCCGCACCGGCGCGCCAGAGAAAGCTGCAGCTGTGGGTCGACCTTCGCTATGGGGTCATCGGTCCCTCGGGTGGCGTGTCCCACCCGACAGGTTGGGGCTGTTACGTTTGATTGCATCAGAAAGTGCCCCGCTCAGAGGATCTCCTGAGACTTCCACACGCACTCCCCGCCTGCCCTCTCTCTCTCTCTCTTTATTGTTTTTCTCTCTCTCTCTCTCTGTCAATATCTCTAGCTTTGTCTCTCTCTCTCTCTCTCGAAATAATTGCATCCTCTGTTGTATCTATTATTGGATATACACACGGGAATTCTCTGTTTACTTGATCTGCCCTCACACCTCGATCTGCACTTTAACTATACCCGCCACCGTGCCGCTGCGCACGGAGTGGGCGTGTCCTCAGATCATGTAATCCCTGGAGCCTGAGTCCTCAGTCCTGAGGCTCACAAGAGACCTTAGGTTTTCAAGGATTTTGGAGTTCTCGCATCTTCGGCTTCCGAACGCTCCCAGACGGCCCCAGACCACCCCAAGACGGTCCCAGAGGCCTCCAAGAGGGCCCCCAAACTGCCAAAGAGCTTCCCAAGACAGCCCAAAAAACGCCCAAAACGGCCCCAGAGGTCCCAAAACGGCTCCAAAAGGGGATCAAGAGAGGGAACACGAACCGAAAATCCGAGCCTTCCGCCCCAAGAGGCCCCCAGGAGGTCCCAAGAGGCGCCCAGGAGGCTCCACGAGGCCCCCAAGAGGCCACCCCAAGAGGCCCCAAGAGACCCCTAAGAGACCCAAAAGAGCCCCCAAAACGCCCACCAAGAGGCGTCCAAACTGCCTCCGAGAGGCCCCCGAGAGGCACCCCATGAGATCCCAACGAACATTCAACAGGCTTCATGCCCACAACCCAGGCACGGTGGCGGGATGGGCCGAAGGCTATTAGAGATCCTGGGCTCTCCTCTTATAATTAATATGAAAAACATGGTTCGGGCCGGGCGAAAGGGGGTGATAGCAAAGGGGGGGTTTGAGAATCAGCTCACGTAGCTGATTATCCCGGCGCCAGGAGGCGCCGGGAGGCGCCCCTGTACTGAGGGATGGGCCCGGCGGCGGGGCCGAAACCAGCTGCATGCAGCAGATTTCGTACCCCCTCTTTCCCTGTCCCCCCCCTTTCGTTCGGTCCGAATGGTTTAGGGAGGCCCTCACCCCTGCGCCCCCCCGGCCCTCGCATGCTGGGCGCCTGCCGGGCGGCCCCTGGGCGTGCCGGCGCGCGGTCGGAGACCTGCGGGGGCCGAGGTGGGGGATGTTGAGGGAGGAGGGAGGAGGGAGGTGGAGGGGGAGGCTAGAGCCACCTTTTGAAAACGACCCGCCCTCCACCTGTGGAACTGCTGTTCTTATCAAGCTTCAGGAACATGGTGAGGAAGTCTCAGGCGAACCGCCCGCCCGGCCCTTTCGACCAGCCTCGGCGCCGCGAACAAGCGTTCTAAACATGTCTAGGAAATTCACGGATTCGGGGCGAATGGTTTTCAATATGTGGTTCTCGACTTAGCGCCGCGCACACTCGTCTTAAACATTGCAAGAACTGCGCGGGTTGAGGGCGGGTCGTTTTCAAAATGTGGCGTTCGCCTAGAGCTTCACGGGCCGAGGGCGGGTGGTTTTCAAAAGGTGGCTCTCGTCTCAGCGGCGCGCACATTCGGCTCAACTGATCTCGCCCGCCCTTTCGGGCGTAGGTGCTCTAGGGCGTTTTGTTTTCCATCTGCCCCTGTTCCCCTTCGGGGAAGGGTTCATCCCTGTTCCTTATTGATATACACCCCATCCCCGACCCGGCCGGCGGCCAACCCAGAACCATGCCGACCCCATGAGAGCCCGCCCCCCCCCGTCCCTGTCAAAAAACAATACAAGCCGCACTCGGCCTCTACATTTGGAGCATGCGCGGCCAACCCGATGCGCTCCCCCGCCACCATCCCTGTCAAAACACAATGCAAAGCATACTCTGGGGCAAAGTCTTGAATCATGTTCGTGAAGCTCGCGAACACTTTGTATTGTTTTGGACAGGGATGGCGGGGGTGTCAGTGCACCCCATGCTGCGCGCACGACTACCACCCCTGAAAAAAACAATATAACAAGCACATCGCGGCTAAATCTGAATCGTGCGCGGCCATCCCGCGATGCTGCCATGTGTGTTTTTTGTTTTCGAAAAGGGGCGGCGGAGGTGGTGGCGCGTGGCCTGCTGTGCGCAGGCCCACCAGACACAATGATGGGCACTGGTGTTCGACAAGAATGACGGGGGCCGACCTGTTTCCCGATGTGTGCTGTCACGTACGCAGGGGCACCTGGCGCACTCTGCACGTGGCCCGAACGTGGCGCGGCTGGAGTGTGCGGCGCACCTGGCGCACTCGTAGCACGTGGCGCACCTGGCGCACTGGGCGTGCCTGGCGCGCTCGGGCCCCAGGGGTGCCTGGCGCGCGTGGCGCCCCTGGCACGCGTGGCGCACCTCGCCCAAGCGCCGCGCACCTGTGGTCGCCTTTGGTTCCCAGTAAGGCTGAACCTGCTCAGACTCGGCTGTGACCCATGCGTTGGGAAGGCGGGTGGGGCTGAGCTAGACGGTTTGCGGGCGGGTGGGTGGCGTTACCCCTCCCCCTACCTCCTCCCCTGGACCTGGACGGGGGGTCCCCCGAGGGGTTGGAGCGTCAAAGATGGCCCAAGATGGCGCAAAAAACGCCTCGGAGAGCCCAAGATAAGCTACAAGATGGCTCGAGATATCCCAAGGTGCCTCGAAATGGCCCCCAAGATATTCCAAGAGGCCCCAAGAACGCTCCAAAACAGCTCCAAGTGGCCAGAGAGCTCCCAAAGGAGGCCCCGAAGAGGCCAAATCCATTCAACCCTGAAGGCAAATCAACGTTGTTTGCTTTCTCGCCTTTTCGCTTCCGATGGCCATCCGAGGCCTCAAGTTGGCTCCGATGTGTCCTCCAAGAGAGGTTCAAGAGAGCCCCACGAGGGCCCCAGGAACGCTCCAAGAGCGCCCCAAAAGGGGCCCAAGAGGCGATTTTAGGCACTCTAGAATGGCGATGCAAATTGGAGCTCCTTTCTGTTTGTGTCGATCTTCTCCAAGATGGCCCGGAGAGCGCTCCCAAGTTTCCCAAGACGCCTCCAAAAGGCTCCCAAGAGACCCTCAAAAAGCCCCACGAGGCACCTGAGACGCTCCAAGAGGCCCCCGGGAACGCCAAGAGGCCCCCAAGACGCAAGAGAGGCCCAAAAGCGCCCAAATACGGCCCCAAGGTCGCCCAAGAGTGTCCCAAGACCGCTCCAAGAGAGACCTTTCCTGTATGTGCTGCCCACTTCCCTGATCGCGGCAACTCCTCTGGTGGGGCTACGTTTTTTGATCGCAAGCGCACCGGGAGACGCCGGACGCCGTCCATAGGTCGCAGCACACGGGCCACGAGCGAATTGCGCACCAGGGGGGGGGAGGAAGGCATCGGGAGGACTGCGGAGGGAGGAACAAGAAGGAGGCGGGCCTCGCTGCCGCTCAGAAGAGGGCGCCGTCGACCGGGGGGGAGCCGTCAGGTGGAGTGCATCGCCAAAATGGTTTGTGGGGGTACGCGAAGCGTCTAGAATTTCAAGGGCTTCACGGATTCAGGGCGGGCCGTTCAAAAAATGCGGTTTCGCCATAGCGCTGCGCACGCTCGGTTTAATACATTTCAAGAGCTTCAAGGTTTGAGGGCGTTTCGTTTTCAAAATGTGGTTCTCGACTTAGCGCCGCGCACACTCATTTTAAAAATGCAAAAGCTTCAAGGACCGACGGCGATTCGGGTTCAAAATGAACTTCTCGCCTTAGCGCCGCGCGCATTCGTCTTATGCGTTGTAAGAACTTCAAGGATTGAGCGCGTTCCTTTTTAATATGTGCCCCTCGCCTTAGTGCCGCGCACAGTCGTTTTCCTCGTTCGCAAGAGTTGTCACTGATTCTCGTATCCAACGTACCAAGAATGGTGCTTTGGACCGTTTCAGGATTTTCAGGGCGCAGCAGTTACGCTGATTCGCGGTGTTGAAGTCCGAGGAATGGTGTTCTGGCACGGCTCAGGGTCGCCAAGACGTACGAGCCAGGTTGACTCGTGGCGTTGCAGCCCAGAGAATGATGCTTTGGCACGATTCAGGATCTTCAAGCGTTTGTCCTCCTGGGTCTATGAAGAGGGAGCTTGAAGGGAGGGTGTACTCTAACTTCGTTGACAAGTCTTAGGTTTGCAATGGTCTTCCTCTTCCTCCTCCTCCTCCTCCTCCTCCTCCTCGTCCTCCTCCTCTCCTTCTCTACCACACGTTCGCCAGACATGCTTTGCAGAACCTGCTTCGGGACGGTGTGCTGAAGGGGCGCCCTCGCATGCTCCATCGTCTTATCTCACCCTGCTTGCGCGCCGCCTGGCGAAAGGCTTTTGACCCCGCCGTGCGAGGAGGACGGCCGCATGGCCGCTCACATGCGCGCGGGGGGCACGGCCCTCCAAGGAGGTAGGCGCTGTCTGGCCTGAGCGCTTCAGTTGTTGCCGTTTTCCTCGCGAGTGCGTCGGCGCATCCCTTTCGCGGGCCGATGCGGTCGCGAGGAGGAGAAGAAGGATGAGGAGGATGAGAAGGAGCATGAGAAGGAGGAGGACGAGGAGTGGAGAAGACGCATGAGCAGAAGTAAGAGGGTCGGGAACCATTTGATTGGGAGGAGGAGAAGGAAAAAGGCAGCGATCCATCCCAATTCCGATGCAGGCCAACCGTCCCTACAAGTGGGCCCTAGTGAAGAATGAGAGGGGCTGAGGTCCGGTGGTCCGACCCCTCCAATGGCCTGGAGAAGGCCACCTCGGCACACTGTGCCAGGCTCGAAGGCGTGAGACCACAACGTGCCAGGCTCGAGCGCACGGCATCTTATTGCCACGAGACAGGAAGAGGGGCTGGGAGGGGGCACATCAGCATTCGCAAAATTACGGCATTCAATGGGAAAATACTCCAATCGGGAAACATCCCCAGACACGCCCCTGGACAATCCGGACAACCCATGCTGATCACTGACGACAGGACGGCCAACGTACCCTGGACAACCCCTTGAACAACCCAGCGGGGATCAAGACAACCCCTCTGGACACTCCAATTGGACAACTCTCCCGGGGATTCTCCCATAAGATAAAGAAGAGCGAGATGGCGGATGAAGGGCAAGATGACCATGAAGGGTTAATAATTTATCTGGTTCGGATTCGGGTAAGGATCCCGCCAGTCCTTCAATTCGGCGGATCGCTAAGGAGCAGACCGGACTGAGAGCCGAGGGCAACTAAATGTCGCAGGGCAGAGCATGGAGGAGGGAGCTGCGGAAGAGGAGGGGGAACGAGCAGGAGGAGAACAAGGTGAAGACCCCTAAACAAGATTCCAAATTAGTCCGCAAGAAGACTCTGGTGTGCCTTGAAGGGGGAGAGGAAGGAGTTGGGGGGATGGAGGAAGATGGAGAAATGAGGAGGATGACCAGGGTAATGTCAAGGAGGGGAAGTGATAGATCAAGACCCAAGTAGTTTCAGACAAGGTATGTTCCATGAAGTGCAGCGGTTATAAAACTCCGACTCCTCCTGGGGCTCTTCCTCCCCACTGCTGGGATGCTGCGCTGGCAAAGTGAGGTGGTTTGCCGCAGGCCGCTGGATTGCGATGGCAATGGGTGAATGATAGCACAGCCATGCTTCGCCCTGACACGTGCAACCTCGAACAATCATATAGCGGAGAGTGGCTCCCGCTGCGAATCAAATGCTCTCCCGCCTTGGAAGCTGTCAGCTGCGTGGTGTAAACCGGGCTATGCCATGCTACGCTATGTGATCGACGCGGTGGAAGCCATGGAAGCCTGAGATGGAATCGACGCGGTGGAAGCCAACCCGTGCAATGCCGACAGCGCTGTGCAATGCACCGCGAGGCGAACCGCGAGGCGTCCACGAGACGCCCACCGGGCGAGACGTCGGCCTGCCCAGCCAGCGCACGGGGCGCCCACGGGGCGCCCACGGTCGTCCACCGGGCGAGGCCTCGGCAGACCGAGCCAGCGCCACGGGACACCCATGGGGGGCGCCTACGGTCTGAGCAACAACCACTCGTCGACAGAAGTCCGCCGACCCCCGCATGCCAAGAATGGCAGCGTGTGAGGCACCTGGCTGGCCCACGCCCCCTGTCCTCCGCCCTCCTCCTCGTGGGTCTGGGAGCACCCCGGCGCTCCTCCCGGGCCCTCGCAGGCTCCAAATCTACCCTTCGTGGCCGCCACCACACCCCAAATGCCTTCTACGATGGCTCCAGAAATGCCCAACATGCCGGGGAGGCCCCGTGAACGCACAATGTGGTCTGAAGTCGGCCCAGCACGCCCTCAAGACGGCCCAAGAGGCCCAAAAGAGGAACCCCACGAGGCATAAGTCCTCGACTTCCCACCATGAGCTTGAATGAGACTCGCGTTCTCGCCTCTTCGACCCGAGAGGACCCCGAGACCTGCCCGAGACCACCTACTTAACAAGCCCCCTGAAGGCCCGAGACGGCCCACCAGGGCCCTGAGACGGCATGGCCGATGTGTCGCCGATACGTCGGCGACGCATCGGCGACAGATTTGCGTGGAGCAAATCGACCTCTACATCGAGCAGCATCGCCGATGCATCGCCGATGCGGCGCGACCCTCCGACCCCGTCTACTCTCCGAGCCGATCAGGGAGGCCCAGGAAGAGGGGGCATTTGCAGGAACCCTGGGAGCCCTCAGGCCTGGCGACGCAGCGGGCAAGACGTAGATCCGTATCCACCGCGTCTTGGAGTGGACATGGGCAGAATGCTTGCCCCTGGAGGCCAGGTTTTACCTTACGCGAGATGGCATAGCGACTTCTCGCGTCGGCTCACGCGGGCCGCCGGCGCGGCACGCCACATTGGCACATTGGCAACGATAGCGCTTACGCGCGAGCTGACGCGGGCAGCTTCCGTGCCCAAGGTCGGCGAAGCCGATCACCTGTCTTCCTGCGTCGCTCACGCTTCCGCTGCGCCCCGGCCCTGTGGCGCCCCATCCCAGACAGTCCAAGGCGCAGCGGGCATGGATACTTTATTACAGGCACCGTGCCCGACGCCGCGGCACACGGCGCGGGCCGCAGCGCCGCGGCCGCGGCGGCTGCCGGCGGCCGCGTCGCGTGGGGGCGGACCGCGCAGGCCGCGCAGCCGCCGAGGGCCTCGAGGCCGCCGCGCAGGCGCTCCAGCAGCTCGCCGGCGGCGGCGCCGCCGGCGCGGGCCTCGCGCGCGCCTCGCCATCGCTCGGGCGTCCATTCCCAGCGCACTCGCCGACGTCGTGCGTGTCTTTTCCGCAAGAGGATCCAGGATGCTGCTCCTCGAGGGTCCTCGCCAAGGAAAACACAACGCACACGTCCGAGCGATGGCGGGGGGCCCGCTCGGGCCGGGCGAAGAGGAAGGAATCGTCACGAGGGGGAGCGAGGTTCGAGGTTCGAGGTTGGAGGTTCAGGATTCGAGGCCTTTGCTTTCGGCACGCTGGTGGGCCGTCCTGGGGCGCTCCCTCGGACACGGCTGGATCCGCCTCAGGCTTCTGCTTCAACGCAACCAGGGAGAGGTCCACGGAGTGACTTATGACCCCTGATCGGGGGCGGTGCCGCCAGCGCGGGCCTCGGAGGGCTCTCGGGGCGGACATAGAGCCTTTTTTCTCGCGGTGATACCCGACGTTCTGGGGGGGAGAGGGGGAGGCGGAGGGGGCATAACGAAACGCCCAATCACTCGCCGTGTGGGTCTGGCACAACAGGCAGTGGTGCCGGACGCACTGGGATCGTATTTCCAACATGGGAGTGCCTTCCAGCCGCTGCGCTTATGGGCCTCATCGAGGTTTCTCGTCTCCACGGCTGGATCCGCCTCGAAAATCGGGTCAGGATGACCTGAGGAGGGGTCCAGGGACCGACTCTGACAGGATTTGGGCCAGGAGGGGGGACACCGTTGTCTCAATTAGCCCGCCTCCAAGCCAAGCATGGCTGCCCCTGGAGTAAGGGCAACGTTCGGGCCGCTCGATATAGCGCGAATCTACACTTTCCGTGGCGGGGTGGGGCTATCGGGCCCGTACCGACGATCGAGACGATGCGCAACCTCCTGACTTAATACCACTTAACGACGCCTAGTAAAGAAGGGCGGTCCATTAGCAAATCAGCTCGCTGGAGGAAGAGAAACCGCCATAGACGTGAACTTCAACAGGTCCGCGCGGCTTTCTCGGATCGGCGCTGGGCCCTCCTTGCCGGCGCCTCCAGCGTCGCCCCTGGCGCGCTCCGCGCGCCAGAAGGGGGTCCAGCGCCGATCGATTAGTGGGACGCGCAGAGACATGCGAATACGATCTCCTCCTTGGAGGCGCGCGTCCGACCCCGACATACAGTATACCCATCTTGTAGTATATCGTTTCCCGAGCGGTGTTGCCAGAAAGCGCCCGCCACGACGCATATACTATGAGACTTCTCGGTGCGCGCGCCGCCCCTGGGGGGGCTACGCACATAGAGTATAAGAATGTTGGGGTGACGCCGAATTAAGTCCGCGCGGACCTCCGACAATGTATGTTGTTTTGTTTGTAAGGGGGCAGGATGAGGGTGAGGCGAGGGGGGGAGAGAGGGCGGAGGAGGGAGGGAGGAAGCAGAGAGCATGGCGGAGGATGGAATAGGGAGGGAGGGAGGTGGAGCACTGATAAGGAGGGATGATGGGGGATGTGGAACGAGGGAGTATGCCTTGAGGAGGATGGAGAGCACGAAGAATATGGTTTTCCGTCCCCTCGTTCCAGCCACTCCTCGTCATCGTTCTCCCCCGAAGCGACTCCGACCTCGTCCTCCGTATCCGACTTCCTCACCTGACACGTAGGCCCCCCTCCGCAGGAGGTGTGGAGAGAATCTACGCATTCGATCATGGACACCTTGTTTCTCATCGGCCCTGGGCGGACTTCGGGGGTCGTCGGACGGCCTTCGGCGACCTTCTGACGGTCTTCGGTGGCCCTTGGCAGTTTCCCGCGGTTGTCGGCGCGCAAGCTGGGTGGTTGCGTTCAATACGGGGTCCATGATCGAAAGCCTATGGAGGGATGAGGGATGAGGGAGGGTAGGATGAGGGGAGGGATGAAAGCGGGGGGGGAGGATGAGGGGATGTGGACGAGGGGAGAGGGAGGGGAGGAAGATGAGAGTGTGACACAGGGAGGGACGCGAATGAGGATGGGGGAGGGAGGGAGGGAGGGACGCGACTGAGGAAGCGAGGAGGACGGGGTCGCCGTGCGACGGCTGCTGCACCCCAGGCACCCTCGCGCGCGCTGTCCGAGGGAAGGGGGCCAGGTGCCGCGCGAAGGGAAGTGGAGCCCAAGCGGCAGAGCAGCGCAGAACACACGTCGACGTATATACATATATCGGCGCACCGGGTCCAGGGGCCCGGGGCCGGGACCTCGACCGCAAATGTGCACCCCGGGGGGCCCGGAGGCTCGTCGGGGCTTGCCGGAGGCCTCCCCAGTCAGGCAAGACGGCCCAAGAAGCGCCCAAGACGGCCCAAGAAACTTCCAAGAGGCCTCCAAGAGGGCTCCGAGATGCTGAAGATGGCCTCCAGACGTCCAAGGACGCCCCCAAGAGGCCCCAAGAAGCCTCCAACATGCGTCCCAAGAGGGCCCCTAGACGCAAAAATTGGCCCATTCCCTTCGTAAAACGTACATTTTCAACAAAGTTGTCTTTTGGGCTTTCCGACGTTACAGGACGGCCCAAGAGGCGCCCAAGACCGCCCCAAGACGGCCCAAGAAGCTTCCAAGAGGGCCCCAGGACAGCCCAAGAGGGCCCCAAGACGGCCCAAGAGGCGCCCAAGATGGCCCAAGAGGGCCCCAAGACGGGCCCAAGAGGGGGCCCAGAGGGGGACCACGAACCGCAAGCTCGAGCCTTCCGCCCCAAGAGGCCGCCAGGAGGCCCCAAGGAGGCCCCTCAAGAGGCCCCAGGAGACCCCAGTCGTCCAAGGACGCCCCCAAGACGCTTCGCGTCACCAATTTCTTCTCGCAACGATTCCTGGGTCTGTGACTCGACAGAACCTAAGCGCGCGCGAAGCGCGCGCGTGGTTCTAGTACGGATGTATACGTGCACGCCTCTCTCTCTCTCTGTATATGCGTATGCATCAATTTTGAGAGAGGGAGTAAGAGAGAGAGAGTGAGGGATGTAGAAACAAAAAGGGAACGAGAGCGAAAGAGAGAGAGAGAGAGAGAGAGACACAAAAAACAAAGCAAACATGGAAAAAATGCGAAAGAGACACAGAGAGAGGTAGAGAGGGAGAGAGAGAGAGAGAGAAAGAGAGAGAGAGAGAGAGAAAGATAGAAAAAAACAGGAGAGCAACAGAGAGACATAGAGAGAGAGAGAGAGATACCGATGCGGACACGCGCGTTCGGGGCGGCAGGGCAAGCGGCTGTTCGCCCAAACTCGCCTAGGGACCGAGCGCCCCCAATATAAACAGGGGGGGCAGAGCGGGAGAGAAAGAGAGAGAGAGAGAGGGAAATGAAAGAGAGAGAGAGAGAGGGATGCATACATACATATGCACTATATATACAGAGATGGAGAAAGAGAGAGAGAGAGAGAGAGACAGGGACAGAGAGAAAGAGAAGGGGAGAACTGGATAGAGAGAGAGAGAGATGGACTGAAAGGGAAAACATATGGGGTACGCTGGGGAGGTCCACGAAGAGAAGGCGAGCGCATCATGGCCCGAAGCACTGTGCCGACGAACGCGGGGCCAACCAATGCATCAAACCAGACAGAAAACAGTCTATCCAGAGCGAGTGAGGGTACGTGCCCAAGTAGCTGGCGCAGATGAGGAGAGAGAGAGAGAGAGGGAGGGAGAGAGAGAGAGAGAGAGAGAGAGAGAGAGAAAAAAAAGAACAACAAAAAACAAGAGGGAGAAAGAGAGAGAGAGAGAGAGACAGACCAGACGAAAAAACAAGCGAGTGGAGAGGAGAGAGAGGGATATATATATATATAGAGAGAGAGAGCGAGAAAGAACGAGAAATAGCGCGATATACATAGAGAGAGAGAGAGAGAGAGAGAGAGAGCAACGGTCACAAACCGCAAAGCAAGGCACATCAACAATAAAAACACCAGCACGAGGAACCAGGGGTGGAGGTCCTGCTGGTGCCGTGCTTCCTCTGCCTCGCTCAAGACACATCAAGTCTCCAGCTCGGGGAGGGGGCATGTTAGACCTTCTGGCTGAGGTGGCCCACCTGGTGGTGGTTGTGTCGCTTCTCCTTTCTTCTCCTGAACCTCCGCCTCCTCCAAGCGAACGAGAGGGGGAGAGAGAACAAACAAGAAAGAGAGAGAGAGAGAGAGAGAGAGCTTCGCCTTCTCCAAAGGAGACAGGGAGAGAGATAAATATATATATATATATAGAGAGAGAGAGAGAGAGAGAAAAAAAAAAACTAAAAACAAAACAACAAACAGCTCTTTGGGATGTATGGATCTCTAGTGGACCTCGACATATTTTGAACATATGTTAAACAAAAAAATCGCTCTGGGGCGTCTGTCAGCAATCTTTTGGGGGGGGGGCAAGGGGGCGTCTTAGACCGTTTTGGAAACTTGGGGCTCTCTTGGCCTGTCTTGGGGCCATCTTGCTCCTGGAAAAATCACCCTGGGAGCCTGAGGAGTGCCAAGAACTCTGCGCTGCGGGCCCTTTACTGAATATTCGATACTTTGCGCAGAAGACCCCATGGAACCTGAGGACGTTCAACGCAATGCCTCGCGGCACAGTGGCGGATAGGGGGGGAGGGCAGGGCTCGGCGGCTGGGAGGTGCTAGCATTTTGGCCACGTCCCTTTCCAGACAGGGCTACGAACGCAGCCAAGATGAAATCGTGAATCTCGTCCCAGAGATACACCGATATTTACACATTGCCCTGAAGAAGGCCCCGAAGGGCCCCCGATCACGCCCAGAGAAAGCCCGAAGAGCACCCACAATGGAGTCCGAATAGATGTTCCACCGTTTTTGTTTGTGTTTTAGTATATATATATATATAATAAAAATAATAATAACAATAATACTAATAATAGTAATAATAATAATAATCATAATAATAATAATAAGAAGAAGAAGAATCATGCGTTCTCGCCTTTTCGGGCTCCCGATGACTCAAGACGATCCATGAGGCTGCCAAGATCACACCGAGAACGCCCAAGAGCGCCCGTGACGGCCCAAGAATGCCTCAAGATGGCCCAAAAGGCACCCAACACAGCCCAAGAGGGCCCCAGCAAGGCCTCAAGAGGGGGCACTCGAAGTGACACGTCGAGCCCTGCGCCCCAACATGACCTCCGAGACCGCCAGCAGGCCCTTAATATGTCCCCTAAGAAGCCCCCCAAAGCCCAAAGAGTCCCACGAGGCCCCTTAGAGGCCCAAAACATCCCAAAACAACAGCGAAGAGGCTTCCGGAGGCATCCGAAAAGGCATCCAGGAGGCCTCTGCCCTCTAGGCGCCGTTGCGGGATGGGGCTGAGGCTACTAGATATGTTTGCCAGCGTGGACCCCAGAACAGTGAGATGTTGCACTGTAGATGTGCGCGTCGTGTAATACACAGGTGGTGCCAGCTGTGTGGTGTAAGCCATGCGGCACAAACAGTGTGATGCAAACTATTTGCTGAGCAGGGGCCGACCGTCCCGGCATTCCTATAGGGCTACCACGAACTGTTTCTTAGAACCGCACGAGTTCTAATAACACAAACAACATTCTTAGAACATCAACCCGATGTGCTTAAACGAGACAGTCTCGGCCAGAAATGTTCTGAGACCACTTCGTGCAGACCACCAGCAGTTTATTAGGACATTCTCTGGTGGGCCTATAGGCACATCCCAGGACGCTTCGCCGCTGCTTGAATGTGGTGCAAGCTATGCTTGTGGATACCACGACAATGGACACCCTAACAGTCCTACCGTTGAATTTAACATGTTTTTAACATGTCGAGAACATGTTCCAAACACGGTTCACACGAAACAGGTTCAAAACATGTAAAAACATGTGTTCGGCATCTGGAGATTGTTTGGCAGCATGGTTCCTCTCCATGGATCGTCCTCCACAGAGCTACAGGGCTGTTTCTAATACGTAGGATTTTCAAACATATAAGATTCGAATGCAGGATCAACGCATGACTGAATGTATGCATGAACTCACCGTTGTCTTTGATGCTACATCCCTGCATGTTTCATACATGACCCGCACGCGGAACATGCATTAAAAACGGCACTGCATGCACCGCGAGCTCATCGCAGCGTGGTGCACGCCGCGTGGTGCACGGGGCGCCCACGAGGCACCCACGGGCGGCCACGGGCGCGCACCGCGCACCACCGCGGCACGCGCACTGGCCGCCCGCGTCCGGCCACCCGCTGGGGGCCAGGCGAGACCCTGGCGGACCCACCCGGTGCACGAGGCGCACACGAGGCGCCCACGACCGGCCGAAGTGAAGTCGGGCCTGTCCCCCTACAGGGGGATCTTCGACGAAAAATAAAAGATACCCCAAAAATAACAAAACAAAAAAAAATCTGGTGACGATGTCTTAAGTATTTGTTGACCTTTTTGGTGTATGTTTGGGGTATTTGTTATTTTTCGTCGAAAATCCCCCTGTAGGGGGACACGCCCGACATAAGCCTGAAGGCGGGCCGCTGAAAGAAAGAACGCTAAATAAGGAACGAAGCTCCTTCTCGGCCCTGTGAGCGCCACCGTGCCCCAGGAGGGCAGGAGGAACGGCACTGGAGGAGCCTAAGGAACATCGAGCCCCTTCCGAACCAAAACTGTTCCTCATTGCAGCGTCTTGACTGCACCAAGTGGGCACAAGGCCAAGCCTCGGCCGAGCCAAACGAGGGTCCCTAGATGCTAACAACGATTGCCAAATCTGCAAAGACCCAAGTGGGGCGTCACTGCAGCACTACTGTTTTATGGGGCGCAAGGCGCTCCATCAACCCATACCGAAAACAAGAGCGCGCTATGGATTTGTATGCAGCAGAGCGTTACAACACCTCATGGCGTGCGCTTCATCAGTGTGTTCTTACCGAGCGCAAACAATCCGGGAACCTGAGCAGAAAACAAGGGTGTGGCGTCGCCGTCGCCGTTGTCGCCGCCGTGGCCGGCGCCTGCCGTCGCCATCGCCGCGCTCGCGGTCGCTCTCGCCAGCGCCGTCGGCGCCGTGGACGTGGGCAGGCGCCGATCTCACGTTCGCCGCTGTCGCCCTCGCCAGTACTGACGCCAGAGTCGCCTTCGCCGGCGCCGTCGCCATCATCGTCGTCTGCGACTTCGCCAGCGCCAACATCGCCGCATACGTCTCCGCCGTCGACGTCGCCACCGTCGCCGTCGTTGTCGCCGCTGAGATCGTCGTCGTCGTCGTCGCCGCCGCCATCGCTGTCAACGTGGACATCGCCCAGGTTCGGACATGAGTTCCCACTCGTTACATGTTCCATTGACTGTAACTTTGGCAGTGGCAATCTCCGGGTAACAGCGTAAGGCGACGAGGGCTGCCCAGCCGAAAGCCGAAATGGTGCACCCTCTCGTTCGTTGTTCGGTCACGATGACAGCTCGTTCCTCGCATCCAGGTCGACGTGCGCAAACACAACAGCGACCACGTCTGTCCAGCACAGAAGACCACCTAGATTGTGTTGATCACCTCTACTTCGACGTTCTCCGCGGAACGAGGGCACTGCCGACGCAAAGGCAAGGAGGAGGCCTTCTGCCCCTTCAGGTCCTGGAGCTCGGGGTCCTGCGGGCGGTCTTGCAAGCAACGCCCCCCCCCCCCCCCCCGCAAACTCCTCCCGGCGCCGTTCTGCTTGACTTCCGTCTCCATCCCTCCTTCCCTCCGCCTCTCCCTCTAAGCCCCCTCCGCCTGTTCCCGCCGTCCTCCCCTACCTACCTCTGTCTCCTCACCCCTCCTCCGCTGTCTCATTGATCCCCCATATTCCGCCTGCCTTCTTCTCTCTCCTCCTCGCCCTCCTCGTCCTCCCCCTCCCTCCTTAGCGGTGTGAGTGCAGGAGCGAGTAGCCCAGTAGCGTTGCAACGGCTGGGCAGCAGTGCCCAGTCCTGCATCCCACGCCTGGGAGGCAAATACAAGGTGGACGCCGCCTCCTGCGTTGCAGCTATCTGTCCCCACCAGCACTCTGGGGGCTCTCTGTGAAACCTCTCGGGGCCTCCTTGGGCCTCGGGGCTCCCTGTGGCCGTCCTGGGGACCTCTTGGGCCATCTTGAAGCCCTTTTGGTGGCCTCCTGGGCCGTCTTGGGGCAATCTCGAAAAAAGCCCTCAGGGCCGTCTTCGGCCATTCCGGGCCCGACAAGGCGAGAACCAACAGTCCATTGAAAAACCGCAGCACATGGAGGAAAGGCAGCACGTCGAGTGCTGTCTGTAGGGCTCCCCGAAATCTTCCACGGATCCTCCGAAGAGGAAGAACAGGAGGAGGAGCAGGAAAAGGAGAAGGAGGAGGAGGAGAAGGAGGAGGAAGAGGAGGAGGAGACCAACTGGTTCTGAGGGCCCGTTCGAGGGCCATCTCCTCACACGCTGCTGCCTGGGCGGCCCGGCGCCCCGCTGGGGCTCCTCCGAGGTCGCCAGGGCCTCCAAGACGGCCTGGGCGGGCCATCGAGGCCGCCACGGCGACCCCGCAGTTCCCCAAAGGGGCACCCAGCAGCCCCACAGAGGCGCCCGGCGGGCCCCCAGAGGCCTTCAAGAGGAGGCCCCGTGGGGAAACACACACACAAACAAAAACACGCACAACCAACAAAAAACACAACACAAAACACACACACACACGCACACACACACACACAAAAAAACACACACACACACACACACACACAAAAACACACACACAGTGGGAAAAAACATACAAACACACAGTGTGTTGTTTTCCCACAGACTTTTCCCCACAGTGTGTGTTTTTTTCCCCACGTGTGTTTTATTATTGTTTTGTTGTGTGTGTGTGTGTGTGTTTTCCCCACGTGTGTATTTTTGTTCCCCACGTACCTCCAAAGACGCTCTCCTGGAGGGCCCCGAGAGGCCAAGAGCATTGATTCTCCTGCGGTACCTCACCGAGCTTCGCTTTTCGCGCGCCCATGGGTCGAAGATCGCTCCGCATGCGATCCTCGAGCGCCGAGATGGGCGCGTCGAGAAAGCCACCAGACGGCACACGACGGACTCAAGAAAGACCCAAGCTGGGCCAAGAGGGCGTCCGGAGAAACCCCAGACGGTCAGAAATCCGCAAAGCGCTTCCAAGAAAGGCCCAAAAGATACCCCCGACTGCCCAGACAGACCCCACACAGGGCCATAACATCGGCCCCAGGACGGCCACGAAAGCCCCAAGAAGAACAAATAGAGCTCCAATGGACCCCGAAGACCGCGCCACAGGAGCCCAAAACAACCAACGATGGCCCACATACGCCCAATGAGAGCTCCCCGGGAAGCGCAAACGAGAGGTGTCGCATGTGATGGGCCTCTGGGCGGTGCTCGAAGGTTCGCCAAGCAGAGCGCTTGGCTGGCACGATGGCGGATTTGCCGCAGGCACCTGGACATGCTGAAGGCGCACAGAGCAATACCTAGGCAGGGCTGTCAGCTTGCGACATATATGAGAAATCGTGTGATGCCCACAACTTGTCACGTGCCACCGCGTTGGGCTGCCAGTGGTGATATGAACAGAAACCTAGACGGAGGAGGAATGGTGAAGAGCAAGGCAATGACACCACTTTCGGTCTGGATGCGACGTGGGGGGGGCTCCCGTTCGAGCCGGGACCCCCACCCGACAACACACACCCATACCCCAGCTTTCCCAAACCAGCCTGTGGTGTTGGGTCCTCGCTTTGAAGAGACAGCGCCCCGCGTTCTCCTCTCCTCCTCTCCTCCTCCGCCCCCTCCTCCCATTCCCGCGCCCCATTCCAGTACACCCCTCACACGTTTCGTGTCCCCACAGGGAGCTCCAACGGAGGCACTAGCGGCAGGGTCCGCATGGCGGCCCCGCACTAGATGCAGCGCACCCATCACACGTTTCGTGGCCACGTGGTGATATTTACCGAAATCCCCAGCGGCAGGGTACGCACGAGGTCCCCCAAATCATTTCGTCACGCCCCTCATACGTTTCGTGGCCACATAGGGGGCTCCACCGCAGGCCCCAGCGGCAGAGTCCACATGGCGGACCCGCATCCACACCTCTCAAACGTTTCGATGCCCTACAGGGAGCTCCACGGAAGGCCCCAGCGGCTCCGCATGGTGGCCCCGTGCCCATTTCGGCACACGCCTCACACGCGTTGTGGCACCTGACGGGGCCCCACCGACGGCCCCAGCGGCGGGGTCCGCATGGCGACCCCAATCAATTTGGGCACACCCCTCACATGTTTCCTGGCTGGGCCCACAGAGAATTCCACAGAAAGCCTCAGCGGCAGGGTCCGCATGGCATCCCCGCACCCAATTCGGCACACCCCTCACAAGCTTCGTGGCCCCATATGGAGCTCAACCTGATGGCCCATGGGCAGGGTCCGCGCGGCCGCCCCACACCCATTTCGGCACACACACACACACACACACCACACGCTTCGTGGCCCCATCCGGAGCTCCATCCAAGGCCCCAGCGACAGGGTCCGCATGGCGGCCCAGCGCCCATTTCGCCACACTCCTCATGCGTTTGGTTCTCCTCTAGGGAACTGCCCCCCGGCACACCCTTCACACGCTTCGCTAATCACCTCATAGGGAGCTCCACGGAAGGCCCCAGGAGCAGGGTCCGCATGGCGGCCCCGCAATCATTTCGGCACACATCTCACACGCTGCGTGGCCCCATAGGGAGCTCCACGGAAGGCCCCTGCGGCAGGGTCCGCATGAGGGCCCCGTCCCATTTCGGCACACCCCTCAAACGTTCCTTGGCCCTTGGGAGCTCCACGGAAGGCCCCAGTAGCAGGGTCCGCATGGCGGCCCCGCACCTATGTCGACACACCCCTCATGCGCTTCGTGGCCCGATAGGGGGCTCCACCTCCAGCCCCTGCGGCAGGGTTCGCATGGGGGCCCCGCACCCTTTTCGGCACATCCCTCACACGCTTCGATGCCCCATCAGGAGCTCCTCAAAGGCCCAGCGGCAGGGTGCGCATGGCGACCCAGCGCCCATTTCGCCACACCCCTCATGCGTCTGGTTCTCCTCTAAGGAACTGCCCCTCCTTCGTCCCCCCTGCCTTGCGGCACGCGCACCCGCACATGGTTGGCTCCTTCGCCAGGATATTGCCTGCTCCTGCGATCCCACAGGGCCGCAGCGAGGATGGCAGGCAAGAGCAAAACCAATCGCTCCGACGAAGCCTCGCCGGACTGAGCGGGGGGGCCGATGGCTCATCCCTGTCCGCGGCGTCCAGAAGGGCATTCAAAGGCAAAGGCCATCGGACGAGCCAAAAGCCCAGGGGTCCCGCAGAGGGAGCCGTCCATGCACTGGCGGGGCCCCTCGGGCCCGAGTTCTGGGGGCCGGCTGCGCGTCGCCGGCACCGTCAGGCAGGGCGATAGAAGCTTGGGAAAGAGGAACGGGGCATCGGGTGAACGTGAAGCCTTGCCAGGCCAGACAGCCGCATGCAGGGTATCCCGCCGCAGTGACTTCAGGTGGCAATGAAGATGACGATATGTGTGAATCGGATACACCTGATTGCTGAAGAAATCGAGTAATACACGCGCAGGAAGACATGACCATTGAACAATACGGGGTGCATAATACGCAAGACGTGGTCACCAGAACAAGTAGCAAATAGGACATAATCCTCATCCGATCCTCCGGTCTCATCCATCTCCTTCATACTTCATCCTTTCCCCTTCATCCTTCCTCCATAGTGCATCATCCGTCCGTGCTCCTTCCTCCCTCTCCTCCTCTCCATCCCTTCGTCCTCCTTCTCCTCGTCCTCACTCTGCCTCTCATGTCTTTCCTCCTCTCCGTCTCCTTCATCCCCTCATCCCTCCATCATCTGTCATCCTTGCTCCCCCTCCTCCTCCTCCTCCTCCTCCTCCTCCTCCTCCTCCTCCTCCCCCTCCTCCTCCCCCTCCTCCTCCTCCCCGTCCTCCTCCTACTCCTCCTCCTCCTCCTCCTCCTCCTCCTCAACTCCCTGTGCCTCCCTCTCGCCTCCGGCAGTGCCGCCGGCAGGAGCAAGTCGCCGAGCCCCCAGTGCTTCACGAGGGGGGCCACGGCCACCGCCAGGCCCGCCGCCAGGCCCGGGAGCCCGTGCGGGGTCTGCGGGCGGCGGCGGCAAGCGGTGCGGGGCACGACCTCTCTCTGTAGGGCGGACAGTCCACCCCGATAAGAATCGCCCCGACACGCGAAGCCGTTCAGCGAGCGCACCCAAAGAATGCATCGAACAGGGCAGGGCTGTTCAATAAACGCCCGAGGCCGTTTCGTAGACGCCCATTGTCCCCGGTCCGGGTGGTTCCTCCTCCCCATAATCTCACCCCTTCGGCGGCGCGCCAGGTGGGGGGCGGGTGCGAGGGGGCAGGCCTTCTCAGAGAGCGGCGATGGGCATCTCGGGCGCCCCCTGGGCCTGCCGAAAGGCCCTCTGCGCCCGGGGAGGAAGCTCTCAGAGACCTCCCCGGGCTCCCTGGGGACGGCCCGCCCCCGCTGCCTTCCCCCCTGGGCGTGCCGACGACCCCTGGGAACTTGCAATCATCACCGAAGTGGTGTAGCGCTAAGGGTGCTAGTCGCCACGTTGCAATGTCGGGAACAAAAGAACGTCGAGACCCCACGACCCCACGCATGGCGTCGTCAAGCGCCCAAAGCCTCGAACTCCTGGCCGCGTGGGTCGCTCAACATGCTGAAAGCCTGAAAAAAAAAAATAAAAAAAAGAAACAAAAAATAAAAAAAAAAAAAAAAATAAAAAAAAAAAAATAAAGCCTGGCCGATCGAATGCGGGTGCTTCCTCATGGTGCAACCGTCAAGGCGAGGGCGCGCAGTGCCCAATTACGTACTATTGGCCGCCAGTGGGCCGCCAAGCGGTGACATCATAGATAATGGAATGGCGGCAACGGGAAAACCACCACTGGGCAACTACTCAACTCTCGACGGTTTTGTTGTGGTGCGCGTGGGCAGCCACATTCACCAGCATACATCGCTTGAACAATCATCGGGCACTATTCTAAGAGATCTGTGTGGGACAATAATATACGGCTTCGCTTCGAGCTCGGAAATGGGGACGCGTTTTTTTTGGTCGGGCGAGCAGCGGAATACTAATGCGCACGAACAGGACCAACACTAAACTAGCGAGGACAACACAACACAGCCTACACAACAACACACGGGCAGGCCCGACATCAGATAACACAAAGCGAAGCGCATACACTCCAGCATCAGTGTGAGAGGGCCGAGCGGTTTGCAGGTTCCATGGGTGCGTGACTGACGTGGAATTCCAAGATGCGCAGGCTGGCCGACAGTGTGGAACTCAAACCTCATAATCAGAATTGTTGTTGAACACCCCCCTCCAGTGCCCATCCCAGGGCTCGCAACCTGCCTTTTGACAAAAGACAATATTGGGTATTCAAGGTGTGTTGCTGCCCCCCGATCTACTACAACAGCGGCTCCCGCCTGATACGCTCTCACCATCGATTGAAGAATCGCATTCTCGTTCGGGACTCCCTCGCATCTAGCCCCAAAATCCCGCTCTCGCGTGGGACGCCCTAACGAGATATACAGACACCGCGCCCTCGACACTCAGGCATGACGCGCTCGCTTTGGACCTCCTCTCGACTTGCGTTGGAATCTTGCTATCGCTAAACATTTCCTCCCGCTCGCTCGCTCGACCCGGTCGCCTGAGCCCGCCCGCCCGACCCGCCCGATGGGGTCCGCACGCCCGGCCCGCCTGTCTGGTTCTGCCGCTCGGTTTGCTGCTGCTAACCCCCCCCCTCCATGTTGATCTCTCTCCCTCCGCCCTCCATTCCTGCAATCCTTCCCTCTTCGCGGTGTGTCTTCCCCTGCTGCTCCTTTCGTGGTTTATGGGCTGCGCCAGCTACACGTGGCAGTTGATGAAGATAGGGGGGCACGATCGAAGACGAAGAGGGCGGGCACCGAATGCTTTGGAAATGCATGCTGAATGCCACGCGAGCGTATGAGAACGAACAATCTGAAACTGATATGCGTTGTTGCTGGCGTAGTCGTCGTCCCGCTCACCCTGCGACGAACAGCAAGCACTGCCTGAGCAAGCGAATGCGTTCCTCGAGGGCCTTGGGACACAACGCGCTCCTCGGGTGTAGCGGGCGGAGGGTTCCTCACGATGACCCGTGAAATGCATCATCAGCATTAGGGAGCATAAACCTGGATTTGGGCGCCAGAAGTTAAAGACCAAGGATGAAATCGTGGAAACAGAAAGGCTTGGACCAAACCCAATACATGCCTGAGCGGTCAAAGATCGCCTGAACCACATCTCTCGACATCACGCGAATCATGGCAGGCAACAGGAGCTGAAGCGCCGCAGCGTCGTAGCCGCAGGGAGAAACCTCTGAAATCTATTGCCGCTAGGGGGGCTGTCCCCCTCCCCTTCGAGGGGATAAGACGGGGTCTCCATTATCGCCTACAGTTGCTTCCACAAGCCCTTCTTAATGCAATAGATCTGGGGTCCGGGGCTCAAGAGTCGACCTCAGCATTTCTCATGACGTGCGCTCTGGCAAGCAAGTCAGGGCGGATCCAGACGTGGTGACGAGAAGGTTCAGGATGAGAAAAAGGAGGGAGGAGGAGGAGGAGGAGGGGGAGAGGCCAAGCATGCAAGAGAGCCAGGACTTCCAACCTCGACCCTCGAACCTCCCCCCCCGTCGCTCTCCCCTGGGGGAGGGAAGGGCGCACTCGCAAGGTAATGCCTGGAGGGGAACCACACTTGCTCGGGGAAACGCCATCTCCTCCCGGAAACAGGGACAGCTCTTCCTCCCTCTCTTCCTCCTCCTCCCCCTCCTCCCCCTCCCCCTCCTCCTCCTCCTCCTCCTCCTCCTCCTCCTCATTCCCTCCTCCCCCTCCTTCTCATACTCCTCCTCCTCCTCCTCCTCCGCCTCCTCCTCCTCCTCCTCCTCATTCCCTCCTCCCCCTCCTCCTCCTCCTCCTCCTCCTCCTCCTCCTCCTCCTCCACCCCGTCCTCCACCCCCTCCTCCCTCTCCTCCTCCTTCTCCTCCTTCTCCTCCTCCTCCTCCTCCTCCCTCTCCTCCTCCTCCCCCTCCTCCTCCTCGGCTTCGCCACGTCCTCCGGGAAACGGGGGCCCAAGAACACTCGTCGAGCCTCGATCCTGGAACCTCGATCCTCGGAGAGAGCTGGTGACCCCCCTGGCGCGTGCATAGCACTCGGGCTCAAGGGACTCGCGCTGACTCGACGGGGCCGGCGGGACAACGACGAAATCCAGTCTGAAACTTGGCGTGAGCTCCCGCTGCAGACGCCCCCCGAAAACTGGACCGTCCAGATCCAGGACTTCTGAGGCCTAGAGATGGACACCGGCACCAATATCGGCGGTGTGCCTCCACCGAGGGGAAAGGATCCCGATCTCGGTGATGGTGGTGATATTCGGGCGTCCTGGGCGACCAGAAGATTACCACCAACACCAACATCAAGGACCATCTTGCCCAGTTGAAGCAACCCCTTGTTTTGGTGTTGGTGCTCATTTCCGGATCTTGAAAGACGGGCTCATCCAACGGCATTGGCAAGCCCGAGCTCTGGCGAGGTCGAGTCTCGCGTTCCCCCAGCAGTGGTGATTTCTCCCCTCGGCGCGCCCCCAAGAGCGCCGCGACGCACGGCAGTGGAGCTGTGCCTCGCACTCGATTTCGACCGTCGGCCTCCTCCCACATCCTCATCGTCGTCGCCGTCGCCGTCGCCGTCGCCGTCGTCGCCGTCGCCGTCGCCGTCGCCGTCGCCGTCGCCGTCGCCGTCGTCGTCGTCGTCGTCGTCGTCGTCGTCGTCGTCGTCGTCGTCGTCGTCGTGGCCGTCGTCGTCGTCGTCGTCGCCGTCGTGGTGGTCGTCGTCGTCGTCGTGGTCGCCGTTCTCGTCGTCGTCGTCGCCGTCGCCGCCGCCGCCGTCCGACGATCGCCCAAAGGGCCGCTGGGAGGCTCCGGGCGCCTCGCCGGCGCCCGCTGGGGCGTGGCCGACCTTGGCCTCGGCGCGCGGGGCCTGGCAAGGCGGCGGCGCGATGTGCACCAGCTCCCGGGCCTGTTGGGGGGACGACGACGACGACGACGACGACGACGAAGACGACGACGACGCCGACGCCGACGACGAGGATGACGACGAGAACGACGACGAGAACGACGACGACGACGACCACGACGACGACCACGACGACGACCACGACGACGAGAACGACGACGAGAACGACGACGACGACGACGACGACGACGACGACGACGACGACGACGACGACGACGACGACGACGGGGGGCGGCGGGCAGCAGCGAGGGCGGGGAGGAGGGCCACGGTGACCCAGAGATCCAACGCCATGTTCGGCCATGGGACACCCACAGGGGCTGAACTGTTGTGGGGGTCCACTATCGGACACCTAAAGTATTGAAGTATGAAATGCGAGAACTTCTCGCTGTTGTCGGCTTCTGGTGCAGTCGTCGGGCATCAGGACCGTCAGAAAACGTCTCAGGACGAAAGGCCGGCCCCTGGGAAAAGGTCGAGACTTCTGGGGAGCCCGGATTGAACAAATCAGGACGTCGTATGTCTGGGGAGATCCTCCTAGCGTCGCAGGCTCTTCACGCCGGACGCGAACGCTAACCAATAACATCGGGCCCCGCCCCCCTCTACATGGATTAATCCTCATTTGCAAAATCTGTCTCGGTCCGCAGCCTCGCGTGGAACACGCCTGTAATGGCCCCGCGCAGACCGCACATTCACAACTGGCTGCAAATGCGCGTGGAGCTTTCAAGTATCTCTGCGCAGTTCACTCACCGATTACGTCTTTGCCCCCTCCTTGGTCGAACCTACTGCCAATGTGTCTGCGCGCCCTACCGCGGCGACGAGGTCCCCAGATCCCACGGCGGCGTTTAGTTGAAGACGGACTCTTCCATGAAATAATGAACATCTTAACACGAACACTCAAAAACACCCCGACGGTTTTCATTGAATAATCACGAATACATGTTTTTACATGTTCGTCCCCCGAGTGCGGGTACCCAATAAATCTACACTAGTTTGGGAATGTTCATTGTTGTCTCTCTTGGCCCCATTTCTTATTTAGAGAAAACCACATCAACCCTCCGCCGCCTGCCCCTGGAAGAGAAATGCGCGCAGCGGCAGCCATTATATTCGACGCCCGACTTGGTCGAGCTGCACTGGCGCCCACTCGCAACGCCACCGGGGACTTGAGCAAGAGCAGCGAGACACGGGCAAATAAAAGCACAGGGCGCACCGCCTCCGAATCAGGAGACGGCCTGACCACCAGTGGGGCAGGATGCTTCTCAACTCTCGATCGTGGACGGGGACTGGGGCTCAGATTCGACTGGTGACTCGTCCAGCGGCGGACCCTGGGACCAGCATCGATCGGTCCGGCTCGAAACGAGCCGCAGAAAGATGGGGCCTGGGGCTCCAGGCGTGATTTTTAGCGAGGCCACCTTTTCTGCAACGTCGGACCTCAGGGGGGGTGAGTGCGAGGCGGGTCTTATGTCACATCCACCGCCCGTGTAACCGATGTCGTTCGAGGAAGAAGCGAAACACGGCATAAACATGAACGTTTGGCGCTCCGCGCGTCTTCCTGAGCCTGCGCTGGTCCCCCCCCCCCCTGGCGCGCGGAGCGCGCCAGGGGCGGTGCCGGCGACGCCGCTGAGGGGGGCCCAGCGCGGATCCAAGAAACCCGCACGCAGCGCCAACAGTTTCTGCGTGTGCAGCTTGTCTGGCTCGAATCATGGGCCCCCAACGAGCGGCGGATGTGGACACGGCGAGGGAATCGGATTCGAGGAGCGAAGAATGACATAAACATAACAACTCAGAGGTCCGCGCGGGTTTCTCAAATCGGTGCTGGGCCCTCCTGCGCGCGGAGCGCGCCAGGGGCGGCGCCGGATGCGCCGCCAAGGGGCCCCAGCGCGGATGGGAGAAATCCGCGCGGACCTCTGAGCATGTATGTTCATGTCATTGTTGGCTCCCCTGGGTGAGAGATTTTGATGAGGAACCGCCTGCCGGAATCTCCGAAGACCGACCCGCGGGCGGCGGTTATATGGGAACGCCTGCGCTCCGGGGGGGAGGGGGCGGCCACGGTGAGGGGCAGGGGAGGGCCACGGTGAGGAGAGAGGAAGGCCAAAGCGAGGAGGGCGAGGAAGGCCACGGTGATAGCGGGGAGGACACAGGGAGGAGGAGGGGGGGAGGGAGGCGGAGGAGGCGGAGGAGGAGGAGGAGGCAGAAAAGACACAGGGAGGAGGAGGAGTGCAAGTCTGCCGCATCGTGGAGGCGTCAGGGCGCAGCGAGCCCGCGCCTAGGCGCGCAGGGCAGCGGCACCTCCTCGAGCGGAACGAAGCGACCCGAGGAGGGAGGAGGGTGACGGCAACGATGCGGGGAGGGTGCGGTCACGGTGCGATGGAGGCCCTGCCCCCCCCGCCTCGTCCTCTCCGCTTGCGTGCGTGTTTTCTTCACTTCTTTCCCGACGGCGCTGGAAGACGAAAGCCGCGCCGAGGCACCGAATTAAACGATCACCACCGAAACCTTCGGCGGTTGAACCCGAAGGTCCGCGCGGCTTGGCGGACAGAGTGGGCGAATCGGCGCGGGGGGGTGGTGCTGGTGGTAGCTTGTGATGGCTATGCAGAGTGGGCGTTGAGTCCGCATGGGCGCGTTGATGTTGTGTTGTAAGGTGTGGTCTGATGCTGTGTTCTGTGTGACAAAGTATGCCATGGCGCATGGTGTTATCACATGCGACACACTGATACGAAATGTCATGTTACGCAGGGTTCTGTCATGTGATGCTTTGCCATGGTATGGAATGGTGCGTGCTGTGATGGTGTGTTATGACGTGGCTTGTTACTTCAGGATGTAGTATGTGATGCTATGCGATGCCATGGTATTGTATGACAGGATGTAGTATGATATGTATGATCCGATCTGTCATAGCATGCATGCGGTGTTATGCTGTGCTGTGTTATGATATGACGTGCCATGACATGTGCGGTCGTGCCATGTTCTGGTTTGGTATCTTCACCTATGCGTTGATTTGGTATGGTATGCTTGATTTGTCAAACTAAGGAATGATATATGCTGTGATGCTGTGCTATGGAATGCACGGTTCTGTCATGATGTGTTGTGTTGCGATCTGGGATTTCATGATACGGTATGTTATGCTCGGGTATGTTATGCTCTGTGGCGTGGTATTATGCTCTGTTCTGTGGGGGGCCTGGGCATATGGCGGCATTCAGGATGGGCGAGTCGGCGCGGGAGGCGGGACCCTCAGGGATTATCGGGGGACCTTGGGATCTCGTGGCCGCGGTATGCAGAGTGGGCGAGGCGGCGCGGAGGGCGAGACCACCAGGGATGATCGGGGAACCTTGGGATCTGGCGGCTGCGGTATGCAGGGCAGGGGGGGGGGGGGCGGGACCACCAAGGATTATCGGGAACCTGAGGATTTGGCGGCCGCGGTACGCAGGGCGGGCGGGCCGAGAGGTCTGTTCTTCAAATCTAACGACCCCAACCTGTCGGGTGGGGAAAAAGAAAAGGGAGAAAGGAGGATGAGGATAAGAAACTCACAACTATGGGCACGACGAAAGCTGCTCACATGTCTAGCACGCCGGGCGCCGTGCCCATTACTGCGATAGTTGATCGGGGGCCGCGCACGCCCTGGTGATAGGTGCCCCCCTCCCCCCCCTTGTCACTTCCACCCCTTCGCCGAATGGCGACGACCGCGACAAGACAAACAGGGGAAACTAAGGGCCAAGAACACTCCCAACATCTTCCCCATCCTCGCATCTGCTTATGGTGTCATCAAAGGGCCTCCCCCCCGCGGGCGGGAAACAGACCGGTCGAAACTCACTCCCGAGGGAATAGAAATACTCGGGAATAGGAAGACACCTCGTCGCCCGAGACTCACTCCCGAGTCGAGATGGGTCAGTGCGGTGGGGGGCCGGACACACCCTCCGACCAACGCCCTGCCAAATCGAATAGCATGCGCAACTGGGTTGGTTACCCATGGGCTGTTGGGCACACGGACACAAGGCCCCATGGGCTCTTGGACACAAGGCCCCATGGGCTATTGGACTTACGGACCGCATGTCCCCACCCCCTCAACTGAATGCGCAATCCCCGCGCCCGAGGTCCAGATCGAACCACGGCACCAGCGCCACGGCGCAGCTGAGCGCCACATTCAGCGGACAAGATGCCACAGTGCTGTCTCTTGACAACTTACGCGGGTCCGTTCGGGTCCATCAGAAGACCTCTCTGCGGGCGAGGCGAGGACCGTCCGAAAAGGCCGGCTCGAGAATAGGCAGACACATCGTTGCCTACAACTCGCCGCCCAGTCGAGGTGGCTTGGTTCGTATGGGGGGTCCAGCACGACCTACGACAAACGCTCTGCCAACGCGAGTAGCATGCGCAATTGGATTGGTTCCCCAGGCAATGCAGACACAAGGCCACATGGACTGGCTATTGGACTTGCGGACCGCATGGCCCCACCCCCCAACTGAATGCGCAATCCCCGCGTTGTTCATCACGATGGATGACGCCGCCGCCACGAGTGCATCTGAGCGCCACACGCATCGGGCATGATGCCACGCTGTTTGATATTGACGACTTAGGCTCGTCCGTCTGCTCCCTGCAGGCACACGGACTGGCATTGTTACTGTCCGCGCAGCGTAGGGCCGAGCATCGGGATACGATACACAGCAGAGCAGTAACTGCCCCCCCGCAGTGGGGGAGGAGAGCAGGAGGAGGAGGAGGAGGAGGAGGAGCAATAACCTCGGATGAAATGCGAGAGCTCGCCCCCAGCACCCGTGCGCGCTGGCCTCGTCGCGCGTCATTCTGTGATGCCCCACCACACACACAAAAACACGAGACCCCGAATGCTGAAAGCCTAGAAGCAACAACGACCGTCGGTGGGGCAGCCCGCGGAACTTGACCCTCCGGAGTGCTCCAAAAATTGCTCGCCGGGCCTATCGACCTGTCTGTCCGGCCTGCTCGAAATTTCAACTGAGATCTACATCCAGAGGTCCTGTGCTATTTGATAGCCCTCCTGGGCGACTTGACACTCCAGAGTGCTCAACAATTGCTCTCCAGACCTATGAAACGATTTGGGGTCCTCACAAAACTTCGACTGGGATCTAAGTCCAGAGGCCTGGCACTATTTGTTGGCCCTCCTGGGCGAGCTGGGGAGGAGGAGGAGGAGAAGGAGAAGGAGGAGGAGGAGGAGGAGAAGGAGGAGGAGGAGGAGAAGGAGGAGTGAGAAGGAGGAGGAGGAGTGAGGAGGAGGAGGAGTGAGGAGGGGAGGAAGGAAGAGAGGAGAGGAGGAGGATGATGAAGTGGAAAGGAGGAGGAGGAGGAGGAGGAGGAGGAGGAGGAGGAGTGAGGAGGGAAGAGGAAGGAGGACCACCACCACGCGCAAAGGTCCCAAGGAAGGCACCAGACCTCCGCAGCCCCTCGCGGTCCTCGCCCACCGATCCTGGCAGCAGGGCGCAGCTGCTCGTTCTCCGGGATAATTTGCGGGCCTCTCGAATGGATGGCCAGTAGGCCCAACTCCCGAACGACCCCAGCTTCCCCTACTTGAGTTACCGAATGTTTCCGCTCGAGCTGTGTTTATCGATCACAGTGCCGTGCACTCCCCACATGGCGTCTCATTGAATCCCATTTCCTCGGAGCGGGCCGTGACCGTGCTGAGCCACACTGCCCGCACGGTTATCGAGGGGGGGAACGTTCGGAGGGGGACCGTCTCAAGGGGGGGGGGGAGAACATCGAGCTGGAGTCGGCGATACTTACATCGCCGAAACATTGGCGAGAGGGCCCCGATGGCGAACGGGCACGTGTGGGGTGGGCGATCGGGCCCCGATAGGGCCCCGATGGGCCCCGACAGGCGGGCTGGGCGATCAGGCCCCTGGCGGCGAGGAGTGCGCGCTTGGGGGTCGAGGCCCCCCCCCCCACATGAGCCCATCCCCCTAACGCTGCCCCTGCGCTGCGTCGGAGGCGGCTGCGGCAGCGCGAGAGCCGGCTGCCAACCCGATTCCCCTCCCTTCCGCCCCACTTCCATTCCCCCTGCCCCTCCTCGCCGATATCTGCGACGAGCGCATGGCCGCGCGAGCTCCCCAGGTTTGGGTCGTTCGTTTCCCGCCTCGTCGTTCCAGCCGAGGCCTCTTGCGGTCCCCGGAGGCCTCTGGAGGCATCCTGGAGGGCCCGACACGTCTGGAAGCCACGTGCTCTTCGGAGCTCGATCCTCGGCCTCGCTCCTCCCTCCTCCTCATCCACGCCTGCGCCGTCGCGGGCGATGCCGCCGCTGCCAGCGCCGTCGCCGTCGCCGTCCTTGGTGTCGGCGCCCGCGCCGTCGCCGTCGCCGTCCGATTCCTCCTCGGGTCCGGGTCCTCCCCCCTTCGTCGTCCCAGCGGAGGGGGGAGGGCCAGAGGGTGGACCCCGGCTGGGGCCGCGGGAGGGCCAGACCGCGCCAGAGCACCAACGATGCTCGAGCCTCGGTCCTCTAGGTTGGATCCTTAATGCTCCCTGCTGCTCCCAGGGTTTCGGTCCCCTTCCCCTCCTCCAGGTTCCCTTCACCCTGCAGTCCAGCACCCGTCCGTTGGTCGTGCCCGGAGGTTCCGACGCTCTCGGGAGGTCTCTCATCCCTGGACAGTAGGCGCGCGCGTGCACTGCGCGAGCCCGTGAGCACACTTCGCTCCACCTGAGGCATGAATTCGCGAAGCCCGCCATCGGATGCCTCCCACATGGGGCTGGAGCAGATAGGGTCGAAGGATCGCGCCGCATCGCCGATGCATCGGCGAGGGCGGGATGGAGAAGGACGGGCTCCGGACCGCGCTGCATCTCAGATGCATCGGCGATGCGGCGCGATCTGGCCCCCTGTGCTCCAGCCCGACTCAGCACTACCACAGGCACCTGTGAGCACCGTCCGTTCGCTCCGCCTGAGGCATGCATTCGCAACATTCGCCATGCACCGAGGACTTACCGTGAAAGGCAAGGGTCCTGCGTGGACCGTGTCCTGAACCCCAGGGCAGTCCCCATGGGCCAGCACTTCATGCCGAGCCGCTGTTTGACAGCTCCAGGGCCCAAGGAGGGCCCTGACGGAGAGGCCAAGATCGGGGAACAAACCCATACGACCCTCTCTCCTCAGATGGCGAGAATGAGGAGCACGTTAGGGCGGGACTGGCTCAGGGGACGAAACATCGAGCTGAAATCGGCGACCTATCGCCGATGGATCGGCGATAGGTCCCTGATAGCAGCTCGGCGACACGTTCCTCGGGGCGGTGGGCTATCGGGCGCCTATCGGCAATGAACCTAGATGTGCTAGGTCTTGACTTTTTCAAGCTGGGTCATTTTTTCACCCCGAGTCGTCTTTTGAGGACCCCGAGGCCCGATAAGTGCCCCCGGAGGCCGAAAGCAGCCAAACACCTCCCGTCGATTATTTTCTTCACGACGCGAGCATGTCTGGGAATGGGTTGATGCGTCCCCCCTTGGACCCATGCCTCCCCTATTGGCAGCGCTCACAAAGGGGAGGGGGGGGAAAGGCTTCTCAGAAGGAGGCTGCTTCTTCGAAGGCGCCGGCCCTTCAGCGAAGGCGCGTTCTAAGAAGCAGTGGCGCTTCTAAGAAGCCTTTCCCCCCCCTGCGCGCGGCTGACCGCTCCCCCGACGTTGCCCCTGACAATGGCGTCGTCTCGGCGCAAAGGTCCGCCCAGCCCGCGGGCGAACCCCCCCCCTCACAGTGAGGGCCTGCGGCAGCCCCTCGCGGGCGCCCGCCTTCGACGGCACTGGGCCTGGCGGCAGACGACGACGACGACGACGACGACGACGACGATGGCGGCGGCGGCGACGGCGGTGGCGGCGGCGGATCCGTGCTCGAGAACGTTGACAACGACGACGAATCGAGGGCACAGAGGGGGCGAGTCAATGCAGGAAGAAGGAACGGTGTGGGGATGGGTGGATGGAGCGCTGGAGGGCAGCAGTGTCTCGAAGCGCGCTTCGTGGCTTGCCAGAGCTCAGGATGTCTCTAACCCCCAGCCTGATATGGAATGCCCCGTGCGTGAATTGGGAAGGAAGGGCGAGGGCTCAAATTTCAAACCGCAACCTAGCCCGCCTATTTCAGAGACTGCTTCCCCGCGCAGGGTGGACTGTCGGAAAAATTGCATGAGCACGATTCCAACTCTTCAAAATGATTTGTGAAGGATGGGGAAGGGAGGAAAGGCTGAGGAGAGGAGAAAAGGCAACGTGTCACGAGCTATCCCGCGTGGTGGTGGAGACAAATACCAAGAGCGGCGAAGCTGCTCGGCCTTGCTGAGTTGCTTATGCCACTTGCCTGCCCCCAGTCTGTCGGGATACTTTCGCCTGTGAAGTTCCACCTTGCTTGAACAAGGTCGGCCGAGCTCACACAACTGGGCATGAGCATCTCAACCACACAACATACATAAACGAACGCTAAAGAGGGAAGAGGGTGGACTCGGAGCAAAGCGAGTTGAGATCGAAACCGGTCAAACGCACCAGCTCTCCGAGCTGCGTCCAGCCGTGGCGACGAGGGGGGCCCCCGAAACCCAACCACCGCTGTCCCAATTCGCCCCTTGGAGGAAGGGCACGGGCACGAAGATCAGCACGTGCGCAGCGGCTCCTGAGGGCCACGGGCCTTTGGATTCCAACGTGGGTCTGTCAGTATAGAAAGGGTCGCGAAACAAACGTTGAAACACAGATTCTGCCCATCCGTGCATATGCGGTGTGCCAGAGCGGGGCGGCATCAACGCGACACCGATTAGCGTCGTGGGCTCGAACCTTTGGCCTGGAAGCACGCCGCGCCCGACTACCCTGATCATGAAATCCTGCAACTGACCACTGCGTTCTGGATCCTGCGGGGACGCACGGACACGCAGAACACTGATCAGCTAAGCGTTAGCTCGCGCCCGCCTTATCCTCATGCCCCATCCCCCACCTCCTCCCAAGATCCCTTCGATTCGGCCCCACCCTCCTCAGGCCCCCCCGACAAACCCCAGACCGTATCATGCCCCTCATACACAGTGTCAACCCCCATGTGCTAGTTCACGTCGTTCCCCGTCGTCCTCCTCCGCCTGATGCGCCCCCCCATCGTCCACATGCCTGCCCTCCTCCCATCCTCTACTCCATTGTGCAAATAATCTTTTTTCCTCCTGCCCCGCCCCGCCACCCTCGCCCCCACGATGCAGACGCGGATGATGCAGCTCCTCCTGGGCCCCTTTCCCCCCCTCTCGTCCTGCCCCTTCCATGCCCGGCCCCTTCGCCACCCCTCCTATCGAACCCCTTCTTTCCCATAGCCCACCATCCCCAGCCCCCCGCGCCCCTACATTTTCAGACCACGGCCCCCTCCTGGGCCAGCCGGGAGATCCGCGGAAACTCCCACCCAGCGACCACTCCACCGAGCGGCGCGAAACAAATGTACAGTTGGAGACACGAACCGTATATTTCTACCGCGCACGACGCCCCCTGTGAACCAGCCGAAAGAGAAACGTGAAAGTTCTCGCCCAGCCAACACCACCCGCGAGGGGCACATTCCAAATACACAGATGGAAACAAGATCTGTGTACACAGATCACACCACGACCTGTGTAAACAGTGGACCCACACACGAAACTACACACTCGAAGACACAAACCAAACTGTGTACACTTATCACACCTTGGTCTGTGTATTTCGAAAAAGGTAAACGCTCGCAACCTCGAAGGATACCCGACTTTGCCAACCCAGAACCGAGGCCGACGCGCCCAGCTAGGAGGGAATGCGAATACACACGTCCCCAACCCAGGGCGCCCCCGAGGGAGCTGCAAATGCACGCTTCCCTGGCCCAGGGCGGCCACGGTGAAATGCGGCACCAGAATGGCCCCCAACTGCCCAAAGACGCCCCGAAAGGGCCCCGGAGGACCCCAAATAAGGCCGCACAGCAGTCCGAGAACACGAGAGGTGTAACATGCCACGGACCTCGTAACAGCCAAAGTTCCACGCATCGCCACACAGACCGCTGCGCTGGCAAAGGGGGCGGACCTTGCTGCAGGCACCTATACAATTACACGTTAGCGATGCGACTGTACTTGGCGGCCGTGCCGCCCGCGTTTGGAGTGCACCCAAAACGCTTGCATGGGCAATCCCCTCTTTTTGGTTGCGCCGCTGTGCTCGGATATCAAAAGGGGGGTAAACCGCTGATGCGGGCACGCTGCACCAGGGACTCCACCTCCCTTCTTCTCTTCGAACAAAGAAGGAAGACGAGGTAGGACGACGGACGGTGGAGCAGGGAGGCAAAGAGAAATGAGGAATAATGCGGGAAGTGGAAAGGGGCGTTCTCCCGCCCGAGCCGCGGACGCTTTCGACACCAGGGGAAAAGAGGAAGGGGACGGAGCAAGCGCGAGGACGACGACGGGAAGCAAACTGTCCTCGGTCCGCATATAGCCACATGCTTGCGATTCGGGTGCGCGCGCTTTCTTCGAGGCACTTCAAGCCCGACCTGCACTGAATTCCCTGATTCCTCCAAACTGTGTACACACTCTGTCCTATGTACAGTACACAGGACAGAGTGGGGGTACAGTACCCCCTCCTATAAACTTGCTTCAGGACAGAAGGGCAGTGGATTCCAAACGGGCCCTGGATCCCTGGGACCTTCCCCCCGGGACGAGCTCTTCCGCCCGGGTCGCTCCCTGACAGTCCACAGGGCCCTCGAAGGGCCCCGAGGAGCCCGAAAACGGGGAGAAGCCTCGGGACCTGCTTCCTTCGGGACCCGCTTCCCCCCATTCGGGTGTTGCTGGAAGTGCCCTTGGCCCCCAAGGCGCCCCCGGCTTTTCGATCCGTTCTGGAGCCCCATGGGGTCCTCTGGGGCTCGTGAGGGGTGCCCTGGAGGCCTCCGGGGGCCACCCCGAGAATCCTGGGGGCCCCTTGGGCCAGGGGCACTTCTAGCAACACCCGACCCCTGGGCATGGAGAGGAGGGCCCGCGCGGCCCCGAGGGACGGAGGCGGCAGGCCTGCAGGACAAGGGCCGCCGCGCGCCCGCCGACGTCGGACCCCGGGGCCCCTCCTACCTCCTCCCACCTCCCCACCTCCTCCTCCTCCTCCTCTCCTCCTCGCTCCCCTCCTCCCTCCTCCCCCTCCTCCTCCTCCTCCGCATCCGCCCCCCCCCTCCCCCTCATACTCAGAGCCCCCCCCCCCCCGCGCAACACGGAGGCCCGTAAAACGAGAGAAAATAAAAAAAGAAGCGAAAAGAAAAAAAAAGATTAAAACAGAATAAAAAATACGAAAGATTAAAAAAAAAATAAAACAAAAGAAAAGAAAAAAAAAAGAATCAAAGAAAAAAAAAAAAGTCAAAAAAAAAAAAAAAAATAAAAAAAACACATGAAAACCACGAGAAAGTAAATATAAACTAAAAAAAACAAAACAAATCAACAGACAAAAAAAGTCAACCGAACACCAACGGCCGACCTCCCCGCACCGCCCCCGACAAACAGCTCGCAACTATATGCGTGCACCCCCCCCGCCCTCCGTTCAAAAGTACAATTGCCCGATCGAACTCTCGAGGAATGCGCTCAAGAGTACGACTCGCCAGAGACTTCTCCACATACTTGTGAGGCGACCCCCTCGAAAGTTCCGCGCCGTACTTTTGAGCGACCCCTCCCCGCCTCCCCAGCGACGGGAGGAGGGCTCGGCAAGGGGTGAGGGCCGGGAGGCGGGGGGAAACGCGCGCATGCGCGGTGGCCCTGCCGCCCGCCCCGCGACGGCCCCTGGCCGCTCGCTCTGTCGGCCTTTCCAAAGGACGCACGCGCGCATCGGACACTTCCCGGGTCTTTCTCAATGTCCGCCCACATGTTCTGGGACAACTGCGGTCTGGGGTATCTCCTGCTTGGGACCCCGAAGCGCGAACCCGTACATACCCTTGACCGCCCCCAGCCAACATGATTCGGGAAAGTTCGACGCGCAAGTGATCCGGGATAACTGAGGTCCGGGGTAACTCCGGTTTGGGCCGCAAAAGGCGCGAATCCGTAGCTACCTCTGACCGCCCCCAGCCCTGCTGATTCGGGAGGGTTGGACCCGAGGCGCGAATCTGTAGATACCACTGACCACCCACAGCCTTGATGCTTCGGAACTCTGAACTCACCCGCCCGGCAGCCACAGCTGCTGCCATGAAGAAGACGTCCGAAAACAAACGTGTCCTGAACCCGTCCCAAAGCCCCCTCGCGTCGCGAACAGGAATCATGACAGAAATTTGTCCGATATCTTCGGGCTCCAGAGGCCCTTACCGGGCAACGGGACCGTCAAAAACGACTCGGGATGAAAAACCGGTCCCCTGCAAGGGGTCCAGACCTCTGGGGGTCCACGCCATGAGCAACAATCACGACGTCGCTGGCCTTGGTCGGGGCCGGGGTGTCGCTGACCCCGGTCAGCTCGGGCCACAGCAAGCACCCGGGCCAGCCTGCGAATGAGCTCCCACATCAGAGTCAGCGGAAGGACATGGCCCTGAACCGCGGGTCAGCCAGAGGGGATTGGCGGCTTCCCATCCTGGGCCGTCTTGCTTCATTTGACGGTCACGTGGGGCCCGGGAATGGCCACGGGGGGACGAGGGCGGAGTTGACACAGACCCACCACATGGGCAACCGATGTTCCAAGAGATTAGCAGGCAGCGCAGTGGATCTGGATACTATCAGCGCACATTGGGGGTTCAAAGGTACCCACATCGTCACTGTCTCATGGGATCCTAGGACATTAATTGGCTCAGACGGTGGATGTGCTCTTAGATTCCGGCCGGTCTCGAACTCACAAC